AAACTTCAGTCGACAGTATAAAGATACAGCTTGTTTCACTAATTCTGTATCAACTTGTAATACAGCAGCAAGCTAAAATAACATTAAAAAATAATTCGATCCATGCTGTAGTAACAAATCATATAAATTTACCTCCCCTACAGTAGTGTGCTCATCTATTGACACAAATATTTTATAAAGTAGAGTTTCAAAATAGTCTCCCAAGATCCTATTCATCACAAATCCTTGCAAGGGGGGTACTTGCACCATATCTGCAGCTGTGATGGGCACATCTAAATATATCAAGCCTTTTCTACAATAATTAGTTAGTTAATGATTAGTTTTAATTTGGAAATCTCTATAACTTACTTGTATAAACTCAGTACTGTGAAATAGGGTAACTCTCCAGCATTTTGAGATCCTAGATCTATTAATTTATCAATAATGTGTAATTCCTCATCATTGACCATCTAAAAACAGTTAATAATATTTTTATAACTAAAAATAGGCATTTTGGTATAAAAATTAGCAAAGCAAAGGTAGTAATATGATATATTCTGAAGAACAATTGAATGGCTCCCACCAGTAACATTCTAAGCGACATAATGTTTAAAATCGGGTTTTCTGTTCAGAAACGTTCTATACAATATCCCAGACATGGCAAAGGTGTTTTCATGTTGTTATCATAGAGGTTGTCAGCACTGTGACTAGCGTTGCCGCCACTTTTCGGACCTTGTCGCGCAGTAACGTTCCAAGCGCCCGAAGATGTCTACATCGCTGTGTGTCAGTTTAACACCATCTGATATAAATCGGTTAAACCGAAGTAAAAGCAGGAAACTTAACATCGCTCACTGATCTAGAAATGTGCGTAAGGTTTTTAGAAATGCAGCGGAACCTTATTTAACTGAGAAGAGGAAGCCTAAGCTAGGAAAACTTCCTCCTCATAAGGTGAGTGCAGTAACATCCATGTTTCATAATATTTGTGCATTTTTTAAGTTTTCAGTTTTCGCTTTTAAAACAGCGTTATTTAACTTAAACTTTACAACTCAAGTCAAAACACTGAAACAGTTACAAGCATTTTCAATTTTAACCAATAAATAACCTTTTTTGGTAATTTGGTAATAAATACCTAAGAAAGAGGAACAGGACAGGAAGAGGTAAGAGGACAAAAAGTAGAGGACCACAATGTGACCTCTGTGGTACTCCAGAGAGGATGTCAACAGATTGAGACAACACACCATTTATCTTAATGCTCTGGGTGTTACCCACAAGAAAACTATCATACCAATCAGGCCATTTGCCAGCTATAACAATGGCTCCTAATTTACTGATTAAATAACAATGATTTACTTTATCAAATGCCTTTGAGAATTCAGTATAGATGCTGTCTACCTGGTACTTCCTCTCAAAAGCACCCAATATATCATCTTGGTAGACCAACAAGTTTGACACTGTGCTCCTCCCCCTTTGAAAGCCATGCTGTTGGGGTATTATTATATTATTTGTTAGTTTTGATAAGTGAGAAGTCACTAGTTTGTCGAGAAGTTTTGGGATTGCTGACTGTATACAAATTCCTCGGTATTTTTCAATATCTTCCATGTTACCTGGCTCAAAAATGGGTATAATATAACTGTTCTGCCAGAAAGGAGGGAACTCACCAGTCATAAGAGATAAATTATAAAGATATTTTAGGGGCATAGTAAAAAAGCATGACAGTGCTTTAATAATACCAGTGGGATTCCATCAGGCCCTGAGGAGAATTTGTTTGGAAGTTTTCTTAATTCATCAAACACTGATATAGTGTCAACTTGAATTAGGTTTACAGGGTCAATGTGTCTGACACCGTTTTCAAAATCTAGAATGCTAGCACCTTTATCTTTCTCATATACACCAGAGAAGAACTCAGCAAAAAGGTTAGCAATTTTGATATTGCCCTGTGCCCTTCTGTTACCTAGATATATTTCTTGGGGGTAACTCGAGATTTACGAAGTCTGCCAATGTATCCCCAAAATTCCCTGGGGTTATTACTGAGATTTTTTTCAAGAGACGAAAAATGTTGCTTCTGACAAAGTGTATGTTCAACTTTACATTGATCACGCAGATTAGAGAACAATAAGCAGTCCTCGTTTGATTTAAATAATTTAAACTTCAGATGAGCTTTTTTCTTTTGAATAATAAGATCTTAATAATAAGTTTTATTGAGAACCAAATTGGGAACTTGTTGGAACACTTGACAGCCTTTATAGGACTTTGTATAACTTAAAGGTTTTACTATTGATATTATACAAAAGGTTTACAATAATATTGCTATTATATTTTACTGTATTAACTTATTTTGTATCGCTAAAAATGTTTTTTTTTTACTTCCTGAAAATTTTTTTAATTGGCGCTTTAATTTTAATATTACTGGAGGGACCCATTCAATTGTGAACCACTCTTTAGGTAAATGTGGAATTTTAATATTACTTCGGATTAATAATTAACAAAAATTCTTGTTTCACTTCAGAAAATGTAACTATAAATAGCCTACCTTTACATCTTCTTCTAAAACAAGTCCAACCTCCACTCTCCACCAAGGTTGCATATAAATATCACAAGGAACAGTAGGCAAGAGGCCTCTAACATTTTTCCTTCCAAACAATCTTCCTTTGTTAGATCTGCTTTTATTCATTAAGTCAATATACTCATTTCTACCTATACCCAATAATCTCAGGCCTTAAACATAACATATATTTATTGTTTTGTTGCAATTCACATATTTATTTTCGTTTAATGTATACAAAAACCTTTTCATAAATATAATACACTAAGATATATTAAATATAACAAATGATTAAGGAAATACTCACAGTCTGCTGCAGTAAAATTTGGCAATGTATCATAGCTCTTTTCAGCTTGCATAAGCTTTTCCACTACTGATATATAATAGTTAAAAGGTGTAATTCTTAAACCCTTCACAATCATATCAGCTAGATGATAAGGAAACAGCATAAGACGCTCTCTGCTATAAGACACAATTCTTTCATAGTATCTTTTTTCATCTTTAAAAATATATCTCACTACAAATAAAAATGTTAATTTTTATCAAAGCAAAGATATTACTTTGTAGATATATTCAAAAATACTATTTCTGATATACTCCTATAAGTAAGTCATTTAGGTGCCTCTATTCTAATGATAGCTTTCTCCAATCTGGTTCTGAGAAATGAGTTAAAAGATGTTTTCAAATGAATGAATGTTAGATGTATCCGTTTTGTGCATGTTAAAAGTAAACATATCTTATCTATTGCAAAACTTACCTAAGTTTCCGCGATATCGCAACTGATTCTTTATACTAAAATTAACCACACATCGATCATATTCCTTGGACGAATTGCTTAGTATCTATAATATCCAATAAAACAATATTTTAACATAATAATCACCAAAAACATTAAAATCCAATATTTTTACCTGTTTGATATGTGAAGGAAGTTGTGGCCAAGGAACTTTGTTGCGGATATTTTCTTCAATTTCTGCATTCATTTTGTATTTCCTGATTGTTTCATTTCAAATTTCGTAAAAAGTAAATGTAAAATGTTTATTAAAATGTAAGACCTTTCTCTCAAAATTGAATATAGAACAAGGACAAGGACAGGTGTGACATTGACAATATGCGCCTTCTTTTTAATTTGCGATAAAAAAAATTGCCTACACCAATATAAATTTAAAATATATCAAATAATTATTTACTGCTATTGTAAAACCATCATTTTGGTTACATTAATTTTATACGTAAGCCTTGGAGAATTACATGTGTATTAGATATTAGATCTTAGTTGCGTAAACTCGATTTGTTTCATGCAAAACTTAAAAATCTCTACCTTTTTTATGTTCTTAATTCCTAAAAGAACCGCCCATGGATTTCTTCAAGATTATTTTCTGTCCAAATAATATTCTGTCATGTTGACATAATGTTGTAAACTTCACTCTTATAGCGTTCACAGATAAATTATACCTAGATTGGTAACAAAGATAAAAAAGTCAATGAACGATTTTGTTTAGCACCCTTCCGTTTGGTGGTACTGCTAGTCTCGTTCCTGCGTTTAGACAAGGAAAAAGAGTTTCTCGTTTCTTTTCCTTGTCTAAGTTACTGTCGTTGTTCCTTGTCACCTTTTTCTTTTATAAAACCACATAATAAACATTTATACATAGTTACATTCAAAGTCCAAAGTGAGTCAAGTCAAATAAAACAAAACAAATTTTTATTGTTTTTTTTTTTACATAAATAATGCAAGAAGGTACAATTTTGACGATTTTTGATTACAATTTGACAATTTAATTGTGAAATCGAACACATTACATGGAATAACGGTGGAAACATGAAGAACTGACCAAAAATATACTATGTAGTATTTTATACTAGCAAATTAGAATGCTGCAACAGAAACTAGAACAATTTTTATGTAGATATGCGTTGGTCATTTTAAAGAGAGGAGGATATAATCAAAGTTGGACATAGAGGCATTAAGGGAACAGCCGTTTCAAGTTTGCTTTTACCATAAAACACGTGTGTTTATACATAGAATATATGTGTATGCACATAGAACACAAGTGTTGATTGTACCATGGTTTTTCCCACGACCGGGTAAGAAGACGAAGACCAGGCTTTGTATTCACATAAAACTTGACATTAGAATAACAAAACAATTATTTAAATACTGACAAGTTCCTGTCCCAACAGGACACTAAATTATATTACACTTGGCTTGTATTATTAATATTTCTTGTAACACATAAAACATTTCTTGTAACATTTTTATAAATAAAGATTTTATTCTATATTTTATTCTTTAATTTTTTAACAACTTTGGCATTTTAATGTAATGGAAAATAAATAAAACCTCAACATAAGAAAACAAGACAAGAACCTAAAAAATATGAGTTTCCAATCTTAGGTAATTTTACTTCATGTGCCTTTATACATCGAGTTGCTTTGGAATTTGCCGCCATGTTTATATATAGTTATGCACCCTGGCACTAGGCAATGCACAAATTGTCGTTTATTCCGTTAACATGGGACTGGCACTGCTAGGTATGAGTGTGCTGTGGTGGTAGAGTTGTCAGTTAGTCAAGACCGTCAAGACTTCGTTTGTCAGTTGATTTTTTTGCTTATGTTTTTTAATCACTTGTAAATGTTGAAGTATTTTTGTTTAATGGAATAATATTTTGTACTAAAAGATGTATACACCTACCTCTGTGTCTCTTTCTGGCCCAGCCTTTTCATTTTTGCTCTACGAAAATACTAAATCGCGATTTCATCAGGTAATTGAGAAATATCTTTATTATCATTCTAAGTTATCTTATGATTTTTTTATAGGAGGGATTTTTACTTGGAGAAATTATCAAGAAGGAAACTAAAACGATAACAGATAGCGATCAACAACAGGTTAATATAAGCAAAATAATCAAAATAAACTCTGTCCTGCCATTCCCCCAAACCCATTATTTTTATAATGGCACTGGTAAAATCAACAAAGATAAAGTTCGAGAGTTTTTAGGAAATCAGTTCAGCAAGGTCGTGGCTTGGTACAAATATCAAAAAGGCACCAATACAAAACTAACGCTTAGAGACAGAATAATACACAGGCAACTTCTGGAATTATTTGATATTAGCCCAGAAATGTTTACCTGTTGTTTGCTTACCACAGAACTATCAGATAACGCTGCTACTCACCTTTTTTCACAAATATTCGTTCGTTGTAATAGCTTAGGATGTGATAATATACCTGTAGTCATACCAAATCTAAGTGAGTCAAATAATATGTATAAAAGTTCAGAAACCTCTTCAGAGACTTTTAAAAAGATAATAGGTGATTTAAAAATCGATAAGAGAAACACCCAAGGACTGGTTATTATTAATAAGATACAGAATGCATTGCAGAAACATATAGATACATTGGTGACAGATTTAGCGGAATCTGAAAAATATCTCTACGAACTGGAGAAGGAGGTTAGCCAATTGGAAATTTATAAAAAGGTTTGTTCATTCAATTATTATTAGATAATGGAAGGGAGATCATCATGATTTACTTGCGTGTATTCATAAAGTAAATCATTTTGAGGTTAGATTTTATACAAAGCAAATTTTTCAAAACTCTAAACAATCTACACAAAGTGTTCCTTCTTAGTTCTCAATAACAACTACTATATAGCCTAGAGTTGCCAGATGTGATTTTTTAAATTCCGCACTTGGAAACTGAAATTCCCCCAAATTTAAGCTCAAATCCCCCAAACTTAAAATATTGTCGCATAATTACAATTTTTATAAATTTGAAAAGACTGTAGACTGGAACACACTGTACTATAATTTTTTATACTATTTATGCTAAAACAATGGATTAGAATAATTTTTCATACTAAAACAATGACAACAATGTTACTTCACGATTTATAAAAACTGATGTCACCAGTGATGTCACTTATATCACAGCCACCTAAAGTTACTTTAGATGGCTGTGCTTATACTTAAAAATTAAACTTAAAAAACATGATTAGAAAATCGGATGTCATTGATTATGAGTAGAATTGGGACGAGGCTGTGAATCCCATTTGTATTAACTCATTAATTTCCAAATTTCTTAGCCTTCCGTTTTAGTTATATTATCTATTTAATGTCACTTTAATCCACAGCTGATATATGGAAGTACATATTTCTAAAACTTACATACATGACCACACAACGGTGGTCTGTTAAGACAAAATGATCTATATGTCAAAACTAAAGGCCTATATTTTTGTAAAATATTTAGATAAGTACATTTTTTGGGTGCCTTAAAGGTATCTACCGAAAAAACCAGATATGAATAGAATAGCCTTTTCTTCCAGTTCTATGTACATTCGCAAATTTAATTAACAATGACCACTGACCACCTAAAATCCTCCACAATTTTTTCCCCAAAAAATCCCCCATCTGTTTTAGCTCATAAAAACTCCCCCAGACGCTTTGAAATTACCCCAAAAATGGAAGGAAATACCCCAATCTGGATTGAGATTGACAGATTGAATAAAATCATAACTAAAATTTGAGATAGACTGGGGATTCACATAAAAAATTTTTATCAAAATTAGTCACCTCACCACTCACTATGCTGAATTATGTCTTTATATATTGATATTATTCAATATAAAGTTTGGTTAAGCCTATATTTTGACAAATATATTTAGAAAATTTAAGTAAAAATGGTATTCAAGACATTAATTGGTAATCTTCTATAATATATATGTAGAAGTAAACACCTACTTAGTTGTAAAATAGTTTTAACTAGTGTGCCAATTAGAAATACCTATGTACATTAATTTTAACTTTATTTTTATGTATAATTTGTATTGGTGTATAATGTCTATGTTTTTTTTCTCAAAGGTGAAAAAGAAGAATAGTGAAACCTTGGATTCTGCCAATGATTGTTCAGGTGATCATTTAAATAATTCTCAGACATCTAATTCAAAAGATCCATTATTAATTGAATCACCTTCCCAAGCTGAAGCTTCTCCAGATGTGAATGCACATGTAACAGTTAAAAAACAAACAGCAGTAAGGGGTAGAGGAAGAGGAAAAAGGGGTAGCAAGGAGTAATGGAAAAGAATTTGGTGTTTCATTGCTCTTATATTTGGGATTTGTACAGTGTGTTTTCTTATACATAAGCCTTCAAAAACATTTTTTTCATATTTATTTTCATCCTACAATGATTTTTTGAACATTGAAACCTAATATTACTATTTTTGTTACTATTAACCTATGGTTACCAATATATTTTCAACTAAGTACTATTAAATCTTTTATTTTACACCTTTCCAACATTTTTCCAAGAATGTTTCCATGGGTTTAGACAAAAATGAAAAAGAAAAATGTATTGACTAGAGTAGAGAACTATGTAGAGTACTGATCCGGTCAGTCAGCAATCTTACACTTTTGGTTGAGAAACAAATAAGCTTCCAATGGTCCACAAGGAAGGATGAAAGAGACAAAGAGGGAGAACTATAGGAAAACAATGATCAAATATTCGTAAGGTAATCAAATTTAATCACACATCATCTTTTCATTGACTTTGAGAGTGCCTATGATAGCATCCATTGAGAATTTCTGATCCATGCACTGAAAGTGTAAAGCAAAATTTGAATTCAAAACGAACTAACAGATACAATCCATGTGAGAACAGGCCTATGACATGATGTATTCAACATCACCTTAAAAAAATAATTGGGAGTCAAAAATCAACACCAGAGGAACAATAATAACAAAAAGTGTACAAATATTGGCATTTGCAGATGATGTTGATATCATAGCTAGAAGTGAAAGAGAAAAGAAGCATTTAATGCGATAGAAAGAGCGGCACAAAACAGTGGCCTAAACATCAACGAAATAAAAACCAAATACATGAAGGCCAGTAGATCGACAGGCCAAAGAAATCTACAGAATCTGACAATAGGAGACTATAACATCCAAAGTGTGAAAAGTTTTACATATCTAGGTTCACTAGTTACCGCAGATAACGATGTCGAAGTTAAGAGGAGAATACATATCGTTAATAAAACATAATGGACTAATTAAACATAAGACATAAACATTAAGATTTAACAATATCACAAGAAAAACCAAATGCAAAATATACAAGACCCTGATGAAACGGTCCTTGTATATGGATCAGGGACATGGACACTGTCGAAAAGCGATGAGAACCTATTAGAACGAAATGGAAAGGAAAATGACATATGGCGCAGAAGATATAACTTTGAATTATATTCAGCGTACAATGAACCCGAGGTCATAACATCCATAATGATCGGATGTCTGCGCTATATGGGTCATGTTGAAGAGATGTTGGAGACTGAAACGCCAAAACAAATAATGAGGCAAACACCAGTAGGGAGAAGGTCAAATGGTAGACCCAAACTTAGATACATGGAACAAGATCTGAAAACACTTAAGATTACCAACTGGAAAACAAAGCAAAGAACAGAACAGAATGGCGGAAAATCCTAGAACAAGCCAGGACCTAGAAAGGGTTGTCTAGCTACTGATTATGATGATGAATCAAATTTAATAAGCAATTTGTAAACAATATATCAAAAATCAGTCAGAGATATCAACTACTTTAGCAGTTGTACACCACTTAACACAATTCTTAAATAACCTTTTGTGAAAACGATTTCCGGTGCGAAAATCGAAACCTCAAATTTTTAGTTATAAATGTTATCCCATATAAACAGATTTTTTAAAGACATGCCACAAGTTTCAGAACCTTATTAATTTCAAATATTCTCCGCCTATGAAATATCTACTTCGGCTATATTCGACAATGACGTATAATATAGACTACGCAGTCCCCTATTCTCGCTATAAAATCAAGTGTCCGAAAGATCTCGGCTCAAGGTTGAAGGTATGTTTATCACAACAGCGGCGTGCTCATTTATATGTTAATGACAATAATTATTTTTTTAATTAAAATTAAATATTTATGATTTCTTTTTGTTCCCGTCTATAAGAGAAATAATTATTTTGATAAAATAGTATGGCATTTTACTAAAATAGTAAGTAAATAACTCTCAACAATTTAAAATAAAATTTGCTTGTCACACAAAATGGAGAAAATGTTTTCATACGTCCATGATGTTTTCAAACACAAGATCAACTTCGTGATGCTTCGTAAGAAATCATGAACTTCGTGCATCTTCGTATCAAAACAATAAACAATAACAAAGGTATTCATGTTTTGGACACTTTTTAAAGCGTTTACCGAGTCTATATATTATACGTCATTGATATTCGAGAACGATTGGAAAGTTCAACGCTCTAAATGGCCCTGTCACTGTCAATGTCACAGTATATTACCCACGGCACAGTAGTAGGTTCACTCTCGCATTTTCACGGTTCCAATGGACCGCAGGAGTGTGACGTCACATTGTCATTATTACTTTCCAAACAAACGTTGAAATGTCAAATTTCAAGACTTTTTAATTCCTATAAAGTTAACATTTTGCTTCCTCTGCTGCTTTTTCTTGTAAGTATAGTGTTTTTAGGATAATACCGTCATAATTCAGAGTTCTATTTCTATGAAATATGGTTTAAAAGTTTAATTAAAGAAATTTTAACCTTACTTTATTGATACTTTCATTTTATTCCTATTAGCATAAAACAATGTGCTTTATTATTTACACAACCTTGTAAAATTGTTGTAGTAACTATTAGAATACTTAAATATTGCAAAAAGCGGAAAGATTCTATAAAATAAATGAAAAAACAACGAAAAATACAAATTGTCCACACTAAACAACGTTTGTTTGGAAAGTGAAACTGGCAGATGTCAATCAAATATACGTCATCACTCCTGTGGTCCATTTGGAATCCACTCCTAGGACCAAGCCACACCGTGCGCAATGGATTTGGCGAAAAATGCCGCTGTTGCAAGATTTAAGATATTCTATCAGTTTCAAAGATTATTCCAAATTTATAATAAAATAATTATTATAGAAGTTCTTCAAAAAGAGGAAAATAAATTTCATAAATGGTAAAATTTTTCACATACCCACTATACACACTTCTAAAGCTTGAAAAATCATATTGCCTAATTGACTTAATCTATTCTCAAATAATTAATCAGAAGTATCTATCCATTGATTGATTACATTTGGCAACATTGATTTTACCCAACCACGTGTTTGTGTTTATGTTTATGCTGTGAAACTACAGTTATTTCAGTAATTTATATATAAATTTCATTTATTTGTTGTTATATAGTTGGTTTTATAAGTTTATTTCGTATTTAATACATATTACTGTGATATTTCTCCAGTTTTCTAAGTGGCTTTATTATTTTAAACAACGGGTTATGATGAGTTCATCCAAATTAAAAGTTTATTTTTGCTGTGTATGTAGAAAAAATTCCAGGGACCATAACAACTTGAACTTGAGTTTCTTCAGGTTTCCCAAGGATGAAAATCGGTAAGAACTAAATTCTCTATTTAATATCATTGACATCATCGTCGATGTTGTATTTTCAGGTTTGCAGAATGGAAGAAAATTGTTCAATGTGAGAAACTTGCCATGTACAGTGCTCAATACTGTTATGAGCACTTTAGAATATGTAGTTTACATTTTGAGGAACCGGCCTTTGCAGGAATGCTAAAAAGCAGGTTGAAAAAAAAACGCAAAACCATCTATTCATCTTGTGAGATTAAACATTCCAGTTCAAGGTATGTTCTTTCTTTCAGGTTAATAATAAGAGAACTAATTTTTGTAATTTTGTAGGCACACCTGTGGAGAAGTTACAAACATTTGCGAGTACTCCAGAATCATTGACATATAGAATTGAAGGTATGCATATATTTTTAAAACTAATTAATGGATATTTGTGGGAAATTGTAAATTTTGGTCATGAACTTGGTAGATAACTATCTAAATCTAAACTCTAGTAATAATTTATCTATTTTGGCTAATAGAGCATTTGTCTGGATAGATTTCATACAGCTTCAGGATCCCATGATATTTATACCTTTAATAGATTTTCCAATTATATTTTCAATATTCTATAGGTTGTTAAATTGTTTTTTTTTTTAACTAAATAGTCTTACTTTTATTAACCGAAATTTGAAGATTGTGGAGGTTACACCCTTCATGAATATATGACAATATGGGTTAATTGGAGTGGAGTTCAAAATGTGTTTAGGCTTTATATAGTTGAATTAGGCACTAGCATAAGAGAGTAGGGTCACATTATCTGGTATTAAATTATGTGAATGAGAAAATTTGTCTTAAAGGAAATCTATTTTTATATATCATAATGTATATCATATCATATCTTGTATGTTGCTATATATTTTCATTAATATTGAAAACACTGTGTAGTGGCCTTGTTAATTTTTTCTGAATATATTCGTTATATCCTCCCCTTTCATTTGCCATGTCGCATGTTAGGATTCAATCAGTTGTTTATTTTGTACTGAACCTGAGGCCTTCTTTAACTCAAAAAATCAAAATTTGTCTTATGGTAAATATATTTTTATTCATAGTATCCTATCAGATCTTGTATGTCGTTATACTTTCATTAATATTGAAGATACTGCGTAGTGCCCTTTTAGTAGTCGCCTTGTTTATTTTTTCTATCTGAATATATTCGTTATATACTCCCCTTTCATTTGCCATGTCGCATGTTAGGATTCAATCAGTTGTTTATTTTGTACTGAACCTGAGGCCTTCTTTAAGTCCAAAAATCAAATTTTGTCTTATGGTAAATCTATGTTTATTCATAGTACCCTATCATATCTCGTATGTCGCTATACGTTCATTAATATTGAATATACTGTGTAGTGCCCTTTCATTTAACGTATCACACGCTCCAATGCCGAAATGTGAATTTTTTCTGTCTCAACAGCATTTTTACAGCTTTTACTTAATTATATTTAATTTTGGTAGATGTTGGTAGTTCAGATTTCTTTCTAGGTGGCGTAGTTACCTTACTGAACAAACAGTGTGACTTGTCATCCTAGCCTTTTATATAAATAGATTCTCAAAATTTTAAATGTACGTAAAAATATGAGCTTGACTAACTACGTTATGAACGTAGTGATCCTACAGTGGGAACTTTATGCTATATGACATTTTTTCAGTTCATTATTTTGTTATTAATAAGTTGTACATAATTGTGAAAATATATATATTCTATTCTAACTTGTATTCATAGTTCGCTACTTGTTTTTTTTTATAATCCTATTTTTATTATAACTGGTATTGTAAAATTCAAATCCTCAAAATATAATTTATAATTCGATTG